ATTAATCGTTGCATTTTCTTATTTTTAGAATCCATCAGTATTTTTTTTTTTTCATATTGGTAAGTTACAGTTTCTTTTCTTTCAATTTGGATCTATGTATATAAATTCTACTTATAAATCATTCATGTTCCCCATTTGACTATATTAGCAGACAATAATGCCCAATCCTAACCATTTACGCCAAGCTACAACCTTTTAGGGGACCAATTAATCATTCACATCAAACCTTTTGGAATCAATAAATTTGGAGCGGCCTGCAGCTACAGCTGGTTTATCGAAATGCTAAATTGGCCTGCCTCAATTTAAAATTGTGAGAGACTATTATCTTTAATCTTTCTTGTTTTATTATATGCTACCATATTCTAGTTCTATTATTGATCAAATGCTTGTCAGTAGGAAAAACGAGGGAGAACTATGGCATATCTAGTTCATTTAAGTCATTTTACAGAATCTGTGTTGTTTTTTTTCTCAAATTCTTAATTTCTAAACATGTATTTTTTTAGAATTACAAATGCAGAAAAATATATAATTATAATCAATATAATATCACTAAATAATCAAATAAACAAATTAATCAATAAATTAAAACTTAATTGGATAAGTTCAACGTAAAATTGATTTTAGTATTTTTAAACTTTCTTTTTATCACTAAGTAAGCTCTGTCGTTTCTAAACATATTCTTATTTTAAATACAATAATCGAAACATTTTATATTAACTTAAACTTTTAACATAATTGACCATGAACTTAACTTAAAATTGATATGTAGAGTTGTGTTAGCAAATATGCTTTTCACATTATTATTTTTTTGTAATATGATCAATTTTGTTTGAGTCTAAATTTTTTTTGGACGATTTTAAACATGCATTTTTCATATAAACTTTTTGCATTTAAGATTTTAAGACTTAGTTTTGTTATCTAAGGCTCATTCGTCACTTGATTAAATAAATGGATACCCAATTCATTCCTCTTATTATAAATTAAAAATAAAATAAAATTTTCCCATTTTGATCGTCTGATTTTGAGATTTGTTGATGTGATTACTTTTATTTTAGTCAATGTTCTAATTGAGGTTTGGCTGTTCAATATAGAATTATTTTAGTTGTATATACTAATATATAGGGGAAACTGGAAACATAACATTTAGTCTCTCTTAACTCTGAATATAAGGAGGCTATTAGGGATTAAATCATGGAGATATTTTCAAGTATGGTCTAGAAAAACTGATTGCATGATCTGGAATTGGCCCACCGTTCGTTGGCTAAGTCGACCTCAAAACCGCTGCATCAGTACCACAAACAGTTGTAAAGTTTAGTTTTACCAAAAGAATTGGGTTGTAAGGAAGAAAAAAAAATTGAAGAAAAGATGGCCATGATAATCATGCAAAACCTAACATATATATTTTTGGAGAACTATAGCCAACTTGTTTCTTCCCTCTTCAAATTTCCCTTTAATTTGGTGGTTAATATTGCTTTTGCAAATAACTTCAATAATGACATTACCCTTTCCCCACATTAGTTCTTGAAGTCTTTATCAGTAATTCCTTTTAACACAATTGTGTTAAGTCTTAATTCGAAAATGTTATTTTACCAAAAATTTTAATATGATTTGTGTTTATAATCAATTTAATAATTATTACACCGTTTCTGGTAGGGATATCTCAACTGTTAGAATTTAAAATTTTATTTTGAAAGTTTAGGAACTTAAATTTTAAGATAAAACAGAATAAAATTAATGAAGTACAAGATAAGGGCTTTCTCATTGCTTATATAACTTAAAATTTCAAAATTGAAAGACTAAACTAAGTTCAAAATCTCTGAATTTCTGTTTCAGAAGAAAAAAAAACTCACAGGTTTTAAAATATTGTTGATTTTAATGTCTCCCATGGGTAGTGTCGGTGGTTTTAATCCAAAAGGGACCTACATTTCTGGATCTATGTATTAATTATATAGAAAGGAAAACACAAAGGGAGAAAATCTGGTTATGTCCCTGTCAATGCTTAGTCTTAAACATGATTAATCACTGATGATTATTTGCTAGATTTCTTGTCAATTAAGCTGATGCAGACATAACAAAAGTATTAATTTTGTTATAGTTATAAAATTAGCGTTATAATCAATCTATTCAGTTACCTTTATTAGAAACCTCTTTGGCTCTTTGCTTGTTACCTATCAATTTCAGGTGCTTGAAATTACAATGAAAGGGAAATGCTTTGGTCTAAATTAAAAATCTCATCCTGATTTAAGATTGATATAAATTTTCAAAATAAAATATAAAAAATAATCCTACGTTGGAAAAAGAGTAAATAAGATAATTATTTAAATTAAGAGAAATAAAAGTTTATTGTAGTTAGATTTAAGTGGATAATAGATCACGGGCTTGAATTTTCAAGCTTGGTAGGCCTTGCATTAATTAAATAATTAATCTTAATATTTAATTAATAATACTTGGTGATTGCAGTACAATAAATAAAATAATATTTTATTTTTTTAATTTTTTTATTAGTTAGGTGTTGATTAAGTTAAGTCTATCTAAAATAGACAGATTTAACTGTCCAAAATAAATAGACAAATTAGAACAAATAATTTGCATAAAACAGATAGATAAGTTTGTTTAAAATAAACAATTTTTAACTATTAAAAACAACAGATTCTCTCTAATCCAACTAGAAAGTTATGTTTATAGAATAAACAGACATTTAATTAGTTATATAAGTTCCTCTGATTTTTTGAGAATATACAAAAATAATTATCAAAACTTTTCCTCTTTTTTCAATAAATTTCAGATTTTTTTCTATAAAATTTTGTTGCAAAAAACCTTATAGAACTTCAGTAATCTTATAATATGTCGATAAATGTTCGATGAACTGATTTTGTTAATACAAAATGCAATCAATCACTAGGTTTTTATTTTATTTTTGAGATTTATCACATGCAATCCTTTTGCATACTTATTAAGTAAATAATATTGTGTGATGAGAAAAACCTTAAGAAAATGATACTATTATATGCCTTGGAATCTTCTTTCAAAATTTCAAAATTTCAATTTTTTGCACAAAGATTATGTGTAAAAATCTGAATATGGTAATTCAAACATTTGATTCAATCAGCACATAATTTCACTATTTAAAAAGAAGGATTCGAATTTTTTTTTACTAAATAAAAAACCAGAATCTTAAATCATAGATTGAAGTTTTGAAGAATGGCTAATTAATAAATTAAATTAGATTTTAAGTTACAATTGTAATATTTATTTATAAAAGTAAAATAAATTGCAGGAGACAAGAAACCTGGCAGGATATTTTTTATTAGGCTCTTTTGGTGGCCCCTATATGCAAGAGTTTTGCTTTTAGTTGGTCTTCTCAAAACTTCTGAAATTTTTTTCCTGTGAATGATTAAAGGCAATGGTGCCTTTGGAACGAAATAACTTTAATGGGATGACTTATTGGTTGTCAAATGAGGCGGTGAGCCAACCTTATCTCTCAACAGAGGCAATTAAATGTAACCACTTCTTTTTCATTCTGTTTCTAAAAAGAATAGTAATAAAGAAATTTTCTTTGAACAACTTTCATTAACCAACATATATTAGTACAAATAAATTGAGCTTGCTTGGTTGAAGTATTGCATTATCCAATGAAATAAAGCCTGACTTAGCAATTCATTGGAAGTAGTTAAGCAAGTGTATGGAGTTAAATATTATTATGCGTGCAAATTAACAAATAAACTTCTCCACTATGATTTTTTTTTTAAATTCACACTTTATAAATAAAAAATTTAAATATTTAAATTTAAATTTAAATTTTGTTAAAAAATACATTTTAAAAATAATTGCATAAATTAACTGAGTTACATCTCAAATTTCACTAATTAAATCAATCATCTTAATGTGATCCAAATCCTCATTTGGTGAGCTTACAAAAAATATTATCGGTTTAATTATTTCAGTGATAGGCCTATATTCAAGAGGCAACATGTTATGTTTCTCAAACTCATAAAATAAAATTATCTTAATTGGTAATTAACAACAATTTCTTTGTCTCTTGGTTGATAAACAGCATGATGCTTAAATTTAAATCAAATTGTCATTTTTAAGTTACTGGAAATTATAAAAGTGTGGCTCAACTACTAATATATATACACCTTCACTCTGTTATTAAGTCAAGAAAATAAAAAGTTCACTTACATAGAAATATTTTGTTTCGGTGTAAAAGAAATGTCTTCTATATGACTCGGAATTGAGATGATTTTATATAAATCGTATTTCTTAATCAATTATTTAAACTTAGTTCAAATAATTTATTGGTATTAAAATCACATTTGTCAGTATTGAATTTTTTATTGTACTTTAATTTCATTGAGCTTTGCCTCTATATTTTTATTTTTTTTTAAATAACAAAATTAAAATAATTGATCATTTATGTTAATTTCATTATTTTTGTTAAAAAATCAACAAAATTGAAAATATAATAGTAAAATACAATAAAATTAAAATGCAGCTGATGAAATTCAATACTGACATCCCATGATATAATGATATATGTAGGCTTACTACCATTGATATATAATCATAGATATCAAAGTGAAGAATCGATTGTATGTCATAACTATGCAAAGAATATCATTTATATCAAGGGCATCATTAATAAAGGTGCTCCTACATGGAAAGTTGAAGAAAAGAAGTGGCAGCATCATGAGTTAGTAGATCAAAAATATGGGGGTACTCAATAACTCCAGCATACTCCATCTCAAAAACCCACTTTAAATAATAGATTGACATAAATTAACAGACTATAAAATGACGAAACAAAATTAAAATGCTAATTAAATTATGCCATACATAACAAACATTGAAAATGATAACATATAAAATTTTTTTAAAAAAATTATCAAATTTATGCAAAGTTGTGTAGGCTCAGGCAAGGCCCTCTTTTTGACTCCATATCTCCTATACAAAAAAGGAAAGGCTAGTGACAAAGAATCCAACAAACAATTTCACACCACCAAAAGCTTTAGATTGGTTTTGTTATCACGCTCAAAACAAAATATTTCCTCCTCCAAAAAATATTTATACAAAACAAATGGAAGAGAAGGAAAGGAAGAAGAAGAAGAAGAAGCAAAAACATCAACACCCCAATGATCAGACAACTAAATCAGCTGCAACAGATTTTTCCTTCAAGCCAAGCTCTGAAGTAAAGGGTCTGAGATTTGGTGGACAGTTCATTGTAAAATCATTCACAATCAGGAAAGCAAGGCCTCTGGAGCTGCTGAAACTGCTTGATTTCCCACCATTGTTAAACAAATCCAATACCAACAAGCTCCCTTTCCCTTCAACCACAGCTTTTTTGCCTACAAATTTCACAATCTTAGCTCACCATGCTTGGCATACACTGACTCTGGGTGTTGGCACAAAGAAATCAAAAGTTATTTTATTTGTTTTCGAATCAGAAACCATGAAGTTGGCAGTGGATAGGATTTGGCCACCAGAGATTCCTCTTGGGGAAGTGAACAAGAAGCTGATAAGAGGGTTAACAGGGTGTGAAATGGCTAGGTTCAAGTTCAGAAAAGGGTGCATCACTTTCTATGTTTATGCGGTGAGAGGTGTAGGAACCATGGGATTTTCTTGTGCTGATGATCTAAGAACAATTTTGCAATCAGTTGTTGCACTCAAGGATTTCTTGGATCATACTGCTATGCTTGCCATGCCTAACCAGAGAAGCCTTAGCTACAGCCCTCCAGTCGCCATGGCTCACTAATCATATTCTTCTTTCTCTTTGTTTAGTTTTGAAATATTAGTTTTCTTTGTTTTGGTAGGGGGATTGGTTTATTTGTTGGAAGATCTTGTTCATGTTATTAATTTTCTTTCTTTCCTTGAACAAAGTTGTAGTATGAATAAATTTGGAGTTTTTTCTCTTTACAGTTTTATGATGCCTTTTGACTTGCAGCAGCACATTTTTCCGAGCAATTCTGACCGTAAGGTAATTAAATCAAGTCTGTCAAATTCTTTCCCTGTCATCAAGAATATTCTTTTTTCAACCAAAAAAATTCAATTTATTTCCTATTTCTTTTATTTTACATTTTAACTGTAGCATCAAAATCATAATTTAAGCAAAAATCAGTAGAGTGGACAATCTGACAATGGTTTTTTTTTTTAATTCTTAATAATTATTTAACCATTAATTTTTGTTTATTTAATTCATTTAAAGAAATTATTACGTGTTTAAATACTTTTAAAATTATAATTTTCAAATGTCTTTCCAATGCATGTCATTTGAGTTATAGTGAGGTCTTATTAAACATTAATTATAATTAATTTTTGTTGATGACCCAAGGCACTTGTAATTTTTTCTTCAAAAAATTTCAATTCAACTCTTTAAATAATGAGATACATGTAAATTTTATACACAGATAAATTAATGCAGTAAATGACTTTAATTTTTGTTAGCATTTAAAATGAAAAAAAAAAAAAACCTTTATCGTTTTGATTTCTCAATGCAATTCCCAAGTTCCAAATATTTATTAATTTCATAGATTGAAATTGCTGATTTCTCAAAGCTTCTTAATTTCATAACTCAATCCGTCCAAAATTTCCCTCACTTACAATGGTGTTTCCTTGTAAATTGTGCTATGTAACCCGTGAACCAAGCTGGTGGCCTGCCCAAGCCCCTCAACCAGCAAATTGGTTTGCAAAAATCAAGTCCTGATGTACGAGATTCATATATTAAATTAAATCTTCCGGATAGATTGAAACTTAAAAGGTTCTTTTCAGAAAATTAAAGGAATAATACTATATAAATGTTGTAAACTTTCATGGATGTAAAAAATGGTCTGATGGTGCATGAATGTAAATTTGATGATGATAATGATGAAAAAATTTATTCCTTGAGAAAAAAGAAAAAAAAAACCCTAGGGTTGTTCGGATTCCTGTGGAATGAAATGATGAAAACAGAAAAGGGGTAGGGTGAAGGGTCAATCTTTCCACCCAAGCCAGGCTTTATGGTCTAAAGTGAAAGAAAAGAAAAAGCTATTACATATATATATATATATATATATATATCACATTTTCTCTTGTGGGTTTAATCATGCCAACGAGAAAGATTTTTTTGAGGAGTTTGTTTTTAGATTTTTTTTTATTTCGTAAAAAAAAAAAAAAGAAATTTTTGAAAAAAAAGCGATATTGAAATGAAACGTGTAATTTTTAATTTTATTGACTTAAAAAAAAGATTTTTGTAAATTTAGAGGAATGTAAAATTATCTAATAAAATTTTTTATTATATTATTCTTGATAACAAATAAATAATACGTGACATTCATAACATATTACACGTAAACAATACATTGATTTCATTAAAATTAAAAAACTTTAAAAAAATATTTTTTATGTTTTCAATAAAGATATGAAAAACACATGAATAACATGTTTTATTTTTAATGTTGTTAAATTAGCAACAAGGATTATGTTTTTTTATGCGAAAAACACAATTTTTGTTAAAATTTCAAAATTTTGAAAATAAAATTTCAACATCCATTATGTTTTTTATTTTAAAAATGTGATCTTTGTTAAAATTTAATAATTTCAAAAATAAAATTTTAACATCTATTACATTTTTATCTTAAAAATGAGATATTTGTTAAATTTTCAAAAATATAGTTTTAACATCCACTTTGTTTTTTAGCTTAAATGATGATTTTTATTAAAATTTTAGAATTTCAAAAATATAATTTCAACATTTACTACTTTTTTATTTAAAAAATATGATTTTTGTTAAAATTCTTAAATTTTAAAAATAAAGTTTCAACATCCATTAAGTTTTTATTTTAAAAGCACATATTTATTGAAATTATAAATAACAAAAATCACATTCACTTTGTAATTTTAAGAGACCAGAAAGGATAATCATACCATATAAATATATAAAACTCAAATATTTTGTAATAAATGCAAAAGGTTTTGCACAATTTCTAAACTTATATATTTTTAATTTTATTACATAAACATAATATATTGGTTGTCTAATATTATATGAATTCTTGACTTTTGATTTTCTTCTATTCATATTCTTTAAAACCATTATTTGTTAAAATTTATTAAAAACTTTGGTTTTCTAATATTTATGTTTTTGACTTTTAATTTTGTATGACTTGTGGTTTATTATTCTCTTTTTAGGGATGAAAGGGTTTTTAATTTTCTTATAACTTATGGTTTTCCATTTTTTAGGGATGAAAGGGTTATATGTAATAAATGCAAAGTGTTTTACACAAATTCTAAATTTATACTTTCTAATTTTATTATATAAACATAATAGAGCTTTAGTTGGCTAACATTATATGAATTCTTAACTTTTGGTTTTCTTCTATTTGTATTCTTTAAAATTATTATTTATTAAAATTTATTGAAACCTTTGGTTTTCTAACATTTATATTTTCTACTTTAAATTTTCCTATGACTTATGGTTTTCCATGTTCTTTTTTAGGGATGAGAGGGGTTTTAATATTCTAATAACTTATGGTTTTCGATCTTCTTTTTTAGGGATAAGAGGGTTATATAAATGTATTTCATATGTGTATTCCATTTTTTCCAATCATGTGGTTTGTTTTTTTATTGTGTTTATATTTTTTATTTTTTATATTTTAATCACGATCTATAATTTTTATTTAGTATTTCAAGTATTTTTTTTTTGCTAATTAGTGTAATCTTTTAGTGTTTGCTTTTTTTTTTTTTTGTCATAATCATGATTTCTTCATTTCAAGTTTGTCTTTTAGCTAATTGAAATATGTTTGCTGATAGTAAGATGTTTATAATTATAGAAATAAATAATGTGTTAGCACAAAAATGATGGTCGTTGATATAAAGGTACGTAAACAAATTTACTTTTGTTTTTATTTTCATTGCTTTGATTTATTTTTTTATCATTTTTGCACTTGTGTAGAGATTTTAAATTCATAATGTATATCAATTGAAGAATAAGAATAGGGAAGGGGGTTTATATTATATCAACATTTCTTCTATTTAAAAAAAAATGATTATCGAATAATTGTTATGAATGATATGATTCATTTTATTGCAAAACCCATCATAAAAAGGATGTTTGATGAAGGTATAAATATTTCACAATATGTTATTTTTTGTTCGTAAGTTATGATTGTTTTAATGAGGGTTCAACTTATATAAGTGCTTAATAGTTTTTTTATAACTTATTATGGATTTTGAGTTTTGTACTTTTCTTTAAAATAATTTTTTATTTCAAATTTTTTTTCATTAGATGGTGTTGTAGTTTGTATAGATTTGTTAATCTTCAAACTTCCAGTGATGAGTCCATAAATTATGTAGTGTTATGCCTTCAAGATTTTAAGGTTTTTAAATAATTTTTTATATTGGCAATATAATAAGAGTGATTATTTATTTTTAAAAAATAAACTTTTATTATTTTTTAAAGTAAATATTATTTTAATCATTTTTTTCTTTATAAGCATTAGTTTATTGGATGATAACCTTATAATTCATAGCTATTTACATATCATTTGAGAGTTAAAATTTTGAAAATTTTCATGAATTTTCTCAATAATGATGTAAATGGGTGATTTTTAGGTTTGCATGAATAAATTAATTACTTTGAAAGAAAATCCTAAAATCCATACCAACTATGCAAAGTTAACAAGATGAGGTCATGCATGCAAAGATGAATGATCCATACAAAGGTGGTAATAATGTCTAGCCCAACATGAACTAAAAAGCCCATAGGATCCAAATGATATTCGGCCAAAGCTAAAATGGAATGAAAAAGTGATTCTTGTAAATTCTAAAGAATCCCACGATTAGTGCAAAATCAAGAAGATATGGTCTTTAAATGCTAATTTGTTGAACCCTTCAAATATAGTCTTTAATAATTAGCCGAATCTCTTTCTTGAATTGCAAATTATGTTGACTTGAAGAAAGGGTGACATAAGTATTTAAGGCAAGGGCAAGATTTGGCTAATCAAGATCAATCACATTCATGGAGATTCCTAAATCAATGGGACCTTAATTGATTTCAAGATCACCTGCCAAAGTAAAAAGTGTATAGATTCATCCCTCATTGGCCAAACTTTGTACTATAAATAGGCCATGCATTTTCACTTATAAATCACCCATTCTTCTATTCTTCTATCTTTAGTTCAAGTTTTCGTTAATTCTTTTTAAGTTTTTTTTCTTTTCATTTACATTCAGCTAGGGTGATAGACTAGCCTAAATTTTTTTTATTTTTTTTGTAATTCTTGGTAAGGGTGACAAACAAACCATATTTGTTTTCTAAAACTTTTTCTTAATAGAAGTTCTTTTTCTATTTTTATTCTAAGATCTTTTTCTCGATTTTACACGCACACTCTTTATTTTCTTTACAAGCTTTCAAATCTTGATTGTATGCTTTCTTTACAATTGGCAATATTCAATCCTTTTACAAGCTTTATGTTTTCTTTTATTTTATTACATAATCGTTTTGCCTTCGGAGCTACTAAATGATAGTTAGTTAGCTTGGCATTCACATTTTCAATACTTTGCTTTCAATTACAATCAATCAACTTTTCTATTTGTTTAAATATATAGTTAGAAAGAATCTCCTTTGTTACTTGACCTTGCAACCCACCATAATCTTTAAGGAAATAATAACTCTACTCACACTTTATTACTTAGATACGATGTATGTACTTACAAGCTAAAAAGCAACAATTAAGTTTTTGATGTTGTTACCAAGGATTATATCGGTGCAAGAAAATTAATATCAATAACAATTCTTTCTACTTTGTAATTTAGACTTATTTTTCTATTTTAATGTGTTCTTTTTTTTCTTCTTTTATGTTTGACTTTTATTACAATGAGGCTGGAACCATTGGGGACTATGCTGT